ATGGATCCCATCCCATGGATCCCATCCCATCCCATGGATCCCATCCCATGGATCCCATCCCATGGATCACATCCCATCCCATGGATCCCATCCCACGCCACTGATCCCATCCCAGTGATCCCATCCCATCCCATGGATCCCATCCCACTGATCCCATCCTATCCCACTGATCCCATCCCATGGATCCCATCCCATCCCACGGATCCCATCCCATCCCATGGATCCCATCCCACTGATCCCATCCCATCCCATGGATCCCATCCCACTGATCCCATCCCATCCCATGGATCCCATCCCACTGATCCCATCCTATCCCACTGATCCCATCCCACTGATCCCATCCCATCCCATGGATCCCATCCCATCCCATTGATCCCATCCCACGGATCCCATCCCACTGATCCCATCCCATCCCATGGATCCCATCCCATCCCATGGATCCCATCCCATCCCACGGATCCCATCCCATCCCATGGATCCCATCCCATGGATCCCATCCCATCCCATGGATCCCATCCCATCCCATGGATCCCATCCCATCCCGGTGCATTTTTTCCTTGCAGAAGGAGGGAGGTGGCCCAGCAGATCCCTCCTCCCGTGGCCCAAAGGTCAGTGCTTTTATCCCACATTTTAATGCACATTCCCGGGATAATGATCCATATTCCCAGAGCTGTCTCACTTTGGAATCTGAGGAATCACAGGAAAAAAAGTCAGGAAAATCAAAACTAAATCATTGGCGATGAGCAGCAATTCCAGGGTGGAATCCTTCACAGCTGATCCAAACATGGGATTTGTGTTTTGGGAATTCTCAATCACTTTGGGATTCCTCCTGTCTCTTTCAAATTCATCTGCTTCAAATTATTCCCTTGGGATAGGGGGAGCCTGGATTTATCCTTTGCTCCAGGATTTGTGCTTTTTCCCTCTGCATTCCCACTGCACAGGAGAATTCCCAATCCGTTGTGGGAATGGGAGTGCTGGAAAGCAGGGATTCCTCCATGGATATTTGCCAAAAACTGCAGCAGGAATGTGGGCAGCTGCTGCAAAGAGGGGAGGGAAAATCCCTGGGAATAATGAATTTTTTGGGATTGATTTTTCTGGGGGGATTGGTTGTTTTCCAGGGAGAAATGGGAACTCCTGGATCCCGTGGAGACAAAGGAGAAAAGGTAGGGATGGGATTTTCCAGCCTGATCCTTTGAAACCGGAATTCCCTGTGCTGAGAGGGTCTGGAAAGGGAAAAGCAGCTGGGAATACACTCAGGTCCAATGGAAACTGGGATTGGCACATTCCCAAACATTCCTGGGGGTTTTGGTCCCGAATTCCAGCAGTTTTTCTGCCACGCTCAGGAGGAAACGCAAAATTGAATGGTTGGATTTAGTGATTTTTGAGGAATTTTCCACCCAAAATGATGGAATTATTCTATCCTGCCATCCCAAGAATTCAAGCGGTGTGAAGAGGGGAGGGAAAATCCCTGGGAATAATGAATTTTTTGGGATTGATTTTTTTGGGGGGATTGGTTGTTTTCCAGGGAGAAATGGGAGCTCCTGGAGCCCGTGGAGACAAAGGAGAAAAGGTAGGGATGGGATTTTCCAGCCTGATCCTTTGAAATTCCAGCGGTTTCCCCCACATCCGCCACGCCCAGGAGGAAATACGAAATTTGAAGGTTGGATTTAGTGATTTTTGAGGAATTTTCCAACCTCAAGGATGGAATCACTGTGTTCCCTAACGCCAAAAATTCAAGGGGGGCCCCCAGTTGTTCATTTTCTGCTGGATTAGAGAACTGAAATTTGGGATGGACAAGGAAATTCCAGCCATGGAATGAGGGTAGGGATGGAAAAAATGCCACAAAAAATCTCATTTCATGGATACTTTGGGCAGTGAATTTTTTTTTATTATTTATTATTAATAAATAATTAGGTAAAAATGTCTTAATCAGAATTATTTATTATGGAGAAGCTGGATAGGACAGAGCAGCGCATGATACTGAAGTAATTAAATTAATTTGAATTCATTCTTTTGGTGTTTTAAAATAGTTAATTTATTTAAAGCAATTCTTTTTAAAGCAATTAATTATTCTTTTACAATATTTATTATTTCTTTTTAAGGAATTACCTTAAAATTAGCCAAAAACCTCAGTAATTGAAGTAGAATTGATGCCGCTCACCCAGACATCGACCTGAGAGGGACGTTTGATGTCCCCTCTCATCCCATCACTGAATTCCTTGGAATTAGGGCGTTTTCCCAGTTTTTCCCCCACATTCCAGGCAGGGAATCCCTGGAAATCTCAGGGGTGACAATTCCATGACCTTGGAATCTTCTCTTTATCCCCCAGGGCACCAAAGGAGAACGAGGGGAGGAAGGTCAAAAGGTAAAGGACCGGCCAGGGGCGACTTCTCCTCCTTTTCCCATATCCCAAATTCCCGCCTCGGGATCAGCATCCCGGCCACCTCCTGAGGTGTGGCTGGGGACAGGGAATGTGTCTGACCCGGAATTCCGGGATAACGTTCCCGGGAATGTTCCAGGAGGATCACACGGACAGGACACCTTGGAGTCATGAATTCCAGGGAATGTGTCTGACCCGGAATTCCGGGATAACGTTCCCAGGAATATTCCAGGAGGATCACACGAACAGGACACCTTGGGAATGAGTAATGCCAGGGAATGTGTCTGACCCAGAATCCCAGGATAACATTCCCAGGAATATTCCAGGAGGATCACACGGACAAGACACCTTGGAGTCATGAATTCCAGGGAATGTGTCTGACCCAGAATTCCGGGATAACGTTCCCGGGAATTTTCCAGGAGGATCAGAGGGACAGGACACCTTGGGAATGAGTAATGCCAGGGAATGTGTCTGACCCGGAATTCCGGGATAACGTTCCTGGGAATATTCCAGGAGGATCACACGGACAGGACACCTTGGGAATGAGTAATGCCAGGGAATGTGTCTGACCCGGAATTCCGGGATAACGTTCCCGGGAATGTTCCAGGAGGATCAGAGGGACAGGACACCTTGGAGTCATGAATTCCAGGGAATGTGTCTGACCCGGAATTCCGGGATAACGTTCCCGGGAATATTCCAGGAGGATCACAGGGACAGGACACTTTGGAGTCATGAATTCCAGGGAATGTGTCTGACCCGGAATTCCGGGATAACGTTCCCAGGAATATTCCAGGAGGATCACAGGGACAGGACACCTTGGAGTCATGAATTCCAGGGAATGTGTCTGACCCAGAATCCTGGGATAACATTCCTGGGAATATTCCAGGAGGATCACACGGACAAGACACCTTGGGAATGAGTCATGAATTCCAGGGAATGTGTCTGACCCGGAATTCCGGGATAACGTTCCCAGGAATGTTCCAGGAGGATCACACGGACAGGACACCTTGGAGTCATGAATTCCAGGGAATGTGTCTGACCCGGAATTCTGGGATAACATTCCTGGGAATATTCCAGGAGGATCACACGGACAGGACACCTTGGAGTCATGAATTCCAGGGAATGTGTCTGACCCGGAATTCCGGGATAACGTTCCCAGGAATATTCCAGGAGGATCACACGGACAGGACACCTTGGAGCCATGAATTCCAGGGAATGTGTCTGACCCGGAATTCCGGGATAACGTTCCCGGGAATATTCCAGGAGGATCAGAGGGACAGGACACCTTGGAGTCATGAATTCCAGGGAATGTGTCTGACCCGGAACCCTGGGATACCATTCCCGGGAATATTCCAGCTCCCTCTTTTCCAGAGCTGATTCCCAGCATTTTGTCTCTGCAGCTCAGCTCATCCAGAGGCGATGAGGGCTCCGCAGGAACCCTCGGAGTGGGATCAGCTCGGTGGGATTTCAGCTGGATCTCCCTGGAGCGGCACGAACCAAACTCTCCCTGTGCTGGCTCTACACTGGAAGCAGAATTCCTGATTTTTCCCAACTTTCCTTTCACAGGGAGAACCAGGAATCGGGTTCAGAGGTCCCATTGGCCAGGCTGGCCCACCTGGATTTAAGGTAAGGTTGAATCTCGCTTGGAATTATTTTTTTTCCCTGGGTTTTTCCTCTTTGTCATCCTGGTTTTCCACCGCTGGATGCAGAGCACGGAAGTGGCAGCAAAATAATCCTGGAAAAATGGGAGAAGGATTTGGGATAGAGGGAATGCTCTGTGTCCTCCAAAGGGCCGTTCCAGAGGGAGATCCTGAGGATAAATTTGGAATCATAGGAGGGTTTGGGCTGACCCCTCTGCAGTCAGCAGGGACATCCTCAGGCTGGGAAAAGAATTCCAGGGAATTGTGGGTTCGCCAGGAATGACTTCCAGGGATCCCTGGAATATTTGAATTCGCCACAGGAGATAAAGGCTCTGTCCTTATTTAGCCATGGAAAATCCCTTTTGTCACCAAAACTTGGGAAGAAAAGACATCCCGAAGTTCGGTGACAATTTCTCCAGCCCTTGGATCTCCTCGTGGATCAGGACTGGAAGTGTTGTCCCAAATTCCGCGCGCCGGTCGTGGGAATTCCAGGAGATATCCCAGACTCTCTCCAGGACCTCCAGCAGATCCCACCCAATATCCCAATTCCTTGTGATTCCCTCACCAGGGTGAGCCAGGCGCCCCGGGACCTCCAGGAGCTCAGGGCATCCAAGGAATTCGCGGCAACGCCGGCATTCCCGGATCCCGGGGGGACAGAGGGGCTCCGGGCGTGCCCGGAATTCCGGGACAGAAGGTGAGGGGACGCCATGGGTTGTGTTTGTCACCTCAGGGTGACCACAATGAGCAAACTGCCCGTGCCAGGTGGGCACAATTCCAGGTCTTCCTGAGCCTGGAGGTTGTCGGGGAAGTGGGAAAAAAAATCCCTGATGGAAAAGGAAAGGTACCGGGAATGATTGGAACGACGGGATGCTCCTCAGGTTCCTAAGGAAAGCAGTGGAGCTCCCAGGAAGTTGTTCTTCCTGGGAATTTAACGGTGTGGCTGGAGGAGAGCACTGGCAAGGAGTGGCAGCTGGAATGTTGGGGTCATTAATCCCTGGGAACCGAGGGAGGAATCCCAGAATCCCAGGATCTCTGAGGTTGGGAAAGCCCTTCCAAGGTCACGGGTCCAGCTGTGCCAAATCCCCTGTGAGTGGCACCTCCAGGAATTCCTGGGACACCTCCAGGGATGGGATTCCAAACCTCCCTGGGCTGCCTCTGCCGATGCCTGGCCGCCCTTTCCATGAGGAAATTCCTGCCAGTGCAAGGAACACTCGGATCCACGCTCCTGCTTTTGCCTGGATCAGGGCAACTGGGACCTTTCCCATCCCTGTGTCCTCCTCTCAAAGGCTTTTGTTTTCCAGGGGGAACGTGGCAGGAGAGGCCGGAGTGGATCTCCTGGGCCCGTGGGACCATCGGGATTCCCAGGAAAAGAGGTGGATTCGTACATGTTCCCTGTGCCTTTTGGGCAGCATGGATGAGGGATCTGGGCTGGATGGGCTTCGATCCTCCAGGAATGTTGGGAAAGGAGAGCGCCGAGCACTTCCAAAGCAAATCCTCCCTTTTTATCTTGTTCTCCTTGTCCTCCAGGGAATTCCTGGGACACCTGGACCCAAAGGCAGCAAGGTCAGTGCCACCCTCCCGGGAAAGTCATGAGCACAAATCCTGGGATGGGAATGGGACAATTCCCTGCCTTCTCCTGGCTCCTCATCCCTGACCCCATCCTACTCCATCCCGTTCCACCGCCACTCCCTCCCACGGTTCCTGGAGCACCCTCCAGAGAGAACAGCAGAAAATCCATGGAAATGAGTCTCCTGAGTCTTCCCGGGATTCCAGTCCTGGCCAAACTCATCAGGAATTGTGTGGTGGGGTTTCCCTGCTCCCGGTGACACCTCTGGAATTCTCTGCTTTCCAGGGAGAAGTTGGCGTTGGAGCAGCTGGTCCAAGAGGTCCCCATGGATTCCCTGGCCCTCGGGTAGGTCCGTCCATAAATATTCCAGGCTTGGATTCCTGCAGCCTCCCGGCCCCTTTGGAGGCAACTTTATCCATCGCCTCCCTCCCACCCATCCCAGAAATTCCTGAAGGGTTTCAGGCAGCAAAATTCCCTTTTCATCCTATCCCTGAGAAGTTTTGGTCTCGTTCCGGCAAAGACGGAGTCGGAATCGGAGGCCGCGTTTAAATTTGCTGCTCCTGCGGCTGTCCCACAAATAAATTGGGATTTTACGGCCTCATCCATCGGGAAAAACTCCCCACCTGCTTTGGGATGAGGCCCCTGAGGCAAAACACTCCCTGGAAATGTCAACAGCCGTGGGCAAACCTTGCTGGAGCTTCGTTATCCAAAGGAAATTACCGGAATCGTGTTCCTGCTCTTCCGACTCCAGCATAAATCTAAATCCCAGGATCTCAGGTTGTGTTGGCTTCATAGGGGAGACCTAAACTTGGCCTCAATTATTTGGAATTCGGGCAATTCCTGAGGTTTGAAGGCAGGTCCTGTAGGGTCAACTCAAGGAGGTCATCAAAGGCCTCCATGGACCCTCCAGCGCAGCTCTTTCATCCCAATCCGTAAGAATATCCGGCACCTAATCCCGGTGGAGGGATAAAGAGGTTGGGAAGTCCTCTGGAGACAGGGAATTCTGCCTGCCCCATTCCCGGCGGGACGGTTTGTGGGTTTGGGATTCCTCGTTGCTGCCCCTGCCCCTCTGCGTCCCCCAGGGTGACGAGGGCATCGTGGGAATGCGGGGTCCCCCTGGAATGATGGTGAGTGTTCCCATATTCCCAGAAAACCACGGATCCGCGGCTGGCAGAACGCCCGCGAGCCATGAGAGAAACACAAGGGGATTATTCCCCGTGGGAAACGGGGATTTGGGAACCTGAATTCCAGTGGGATGGGGGAGTGGAAATCCTGTGACTCCCTTACTGTCCTTGTCCAGTTGGGTGGCTCATCCCAAGGTTTGGAAGCCCTCCTGGAATATCAATCCCTCCCTGCCGTTTGTCAAGTCTGCAGGAATTCCAGGAATTTCACAGCAGGAATTTCAGGTTCTCGTTCCACTGGAGGGGGCTGAGTAGGGGGAGACACAAACAGCAGCTGGAATTTGGATAAACTCGTTCTTATTTATTAATTATTATTTATTAGGCTGTTATTTTTTCACGGAACGAAAGGAAGAGGATTTTTTTTTATAAGGACACAGAGCAATAGGAAGTGGGGGAATGGCTCTGAACTGAAATAGGGCAGGGAAAAACGGGATATTGGGAAGAAATTCTTCCCTGTGAGGCTGGGGAGGCCCTGGCACGGAATTCCCAGAAAAATTTGTGGCTGCCCCATCCCTGCTAGTGTCCAAGGCCAGGTTGGACGAGGTTTGGAACACCCTGGGATAGTGGAAGGTGTCCCTGCAGATGGAAATTCCCATCTTCCCGCATATTCCCAGGAATTTAGCAAACAGGGGTGACCACAATGGGGTGACCAGGGGCTTCTCACCTCCCCAAATGCGCTTCCCATCCTGCCTTGGCCTCCACGGGATCTGGAGATCCCCACCAAGGATCCACCTCCACCTTGGAGGAACCTCTTGGAGCAACCCGGCTTTTCCCGGACGATGAGGGTCCAAAAATCCCATTGGGATTCTCAAAATGAGGGAATTTGGCTGAATTTATCCACCTGCCAGGAGATCCCGGTGGTGCACAGAGGGTTAAAGTAGGAGCTCCTGTGCTGGTTCTTCCAGCGGATTTTCCAGGCTGGAGCCCACCCCTGGAAGCAGCTCTGCCTCTGGATGGAGGCTGCTCTATCCCAACTTTCTCGCCTTCCCACTTCCCACCTGTTTTTGTGGATCCTTACGTGTTTTTAATGTGTTTTTCCAGGGTCCAAAAGGCTTCCCGGGCATGAAAGGGCAGAGAGTAAGAACTGATCTTATCTACAAAATTTATCTGCAACTCTTATCTCGTCTGCAACTCTTATCTACATCTCTTATCCTATCTGCAACTCTTATCTGCAACTCTTATCTGCAAATCTTATCTGTAAATCTTATCTGCAACTCTTATCTGCAACTCTTATCTGTAATTCTTATCTGCAACTCTTATCTGTAAATCTTATCTGTAAATCTTATCTGTAACTCTTATCTGTAACTCTTATCTGCAACTCTTATCTG